ATTTTTAGCTTTCCCCGTTCCCGAGTTAGTGATTTTCACGCCAAAATTTCCACGTGCCCGTATTTGAGCCCCGGGCAATCCTGGGCAGCTGAATTTGAAAACTTTTAGTCGCGCATGGGCAGGGAACATTCCTCCAAAGTTTCAACTTTCTAGCTTTCCTCATTCGCGAGTTATGAATTTTCCCGCCATAATTTTCACGTGCCGGTACGTGAGCCCCGGGCAGTCCTGGGCAGCTGAATTTGAAATCTTTGTCGTGTGCGGGTGGGGAACATTCCTCCAAAGTTTCAGCTTTCTAACTTTTCTTACTCCCGAGTTAGCGATTTTCGCGCCAAAACTTTCACGTGCCCGTACGCGGGGCCCAGACGTGCGTGAAGGTTGAAACTGCTGTCTTGGGGTGCTACCTGGCTGGGGAACATACTGGCAAAGTTTCTTCTTCAAAGCTTGCGCGGTTAGCGATTTGAAATACCCGGACAGACGAACACACACACACAAACATACACACGCACACACACTGACAGGGTCGTTGCAATGTGCGTTTTTACTGCTTGTTGCAGCGCTCTAGCTCTGCACGGCAAAAACGCATAAAAATTGGTACAGACGCACACACAGACGTACACACAGATAACTCCTCGTCAGTATGCGTTTTCTGCATTGCATCGATGCAAAAACGCATGAAAATCAAACACAAAACTTCCTGTATAATAAATCTCTTTAAAAAACGGAGACGATCGAGGTGTCCTGAGTGATAACAAACGCCAGCAGCAACTACGCTTTGACAAAGCTATCAAAAGCCGTTTTTTGGAAAGTAGCTTATAAGCAAAAAGACGACAGGTAGAACTCCTTGGCATGCGCCAATACTAATTTGCCATCGAAGGAAGTGGGCGAATCATGGAGGGATTAGATTTCTTTTAATAAAAAATTAACTAATTCTTAGTACTTTAGTAACTAATCTTGACGAACTCTTCGTGGCTGCGTTTTGTAGAGGTTTAAAAAAATTTGACATTTTTTGGCAAAATTTTGACCTTCACCAGCAGAAATTTGTACTCGCCTCACAGCACTTATTTGAGTTTTCACTGTCCGGCTAGAGTTTATATTTTAGAAAAGTTCGTTTTGTCTTTCTGTTTTATCCATCTGGATTACACTGGTTCGTTTCTTTCATTTTATTCTACTTAGTCAAACACTCAAAATGTTGCCTCGTATTCAATTTCTGTGTGAGGCGAAAACTTATGAAAGTAGTAGCAACACGCTGATAAGGCTGTGGATGGCTGCTTTTAACACAGTAATGAAGACATGTTTTTGTCACTACAGCTCACCTGAAATGGCATCATTCACTGGGATTCGAGGAATTCGTGAAAAATTTTCTGAACTTTCGACGATTCGTCCCATTGTCGTGTATTTGCTGTATTTTATTACTGCTGCTGTCTCGTTAAGACGAGAGCTAAATAAAATAAGTTTGTTTTTCCGCAGTCCTTTATCTGTTTTTTCAGTTGTTCTGTAAATCTGTGGCTTCGCTGTTCAATTTCTCGCCTCAGTTTTTCGAAAATGCTGCCCATTAACGAAAATTTCAAATGTTCAAAATCGAAGGCAAGCAACAACAATTCCATAGATCAGAATTTACCACAACTCGAAAGGAATTTGGGAGCAGCAACCTATAATGTCTTTCAGAAGAACTCGAACCAACTGCGTGAAGAAGCATTAAGGATTTTTTTGACTCAAGAGTGATCGATAATTTTGATGAGTTGCATCCCAGACAGTGTTGAGATCCGGAAATTTTTCTTGGGAAAAGATGCCTCCGCCAAATTTGTTTGCAAAAATAAAAACTAAAAATAACTCAATAATTCTGAAATGAGTCAAAACTGCCTGAAACGGTAGATGAGTAACAAACAGAAAGATTTGCTTGTATGCTGTAGCGATGAAATTTATGAGGAGATAAGGAGAAGAATAGATTTTTTTTTTCAAATGAGTGAGTTTTTTCATTGTAAAATCTTAAAGAATTCACTTTGCGTTATCATTGTTTCGATTTATGAGCAAAAAATGTAGTGCAAGAAGCTGTACACTGCCATTGAGCAGAGGTAATAGCGTTCGAGAAACGAAGGATTTAAACGATGGAAGACTTGGTAAATTTTTGATTTCATTTTATTAATTTATTTTTGAGAAAAATAATTTAAACAAATGCGTATCACTGATAAATACAGAATTCGCCGAACCTCCTGCGTATTATGCTACAAAGAAGCTAGCCAAGCGGCTATCTTTTTTTTAAATTTCTGTGAAATTATTTGCTGAAAAGATAGCTGCCGGTTGCAGATTCGCGGTATTTTTGTGCTACGCTATTGTATTTTTGACTGTACTTGGCTGTGATAAACTACGAAAGCTACGGCTTTTTGACTTGATTCGCTCAAGCTATCCTTATTGGGCTGTGAAATTACTTTCAAAACCGATTTTTATATCTTGCTTATTCCAGGATGATGATGCAGAAGAGATTTTTGAAGATGCAGTAGAGGAGATCGCAGAGAAAACTGTTAGAAAGGATGCCGCTACAAAAGATAATTGTAAAAATGAAAAGGATATGGCACAGGAAACAGTTAGCAGAGATGATCCGACAACAGTAAGTATTGTTAATGAGGACCCGAATGCTAACGATGAGTCCAACAAAAAAACATCGAAAACCATCAATCAGGCGGAAATTTTAGGAGGTAATTTTTCATGCGTTTTTTTCATCCATGCAATACAGAAACGAGTATTGTCGAAGGGTTGTCTGTGGTGTGTCGGAATGTATGTCGATATGTGTGTGTGTGTGTGTGCATGTACGTGCACCTGCGTGTTCGTCAGTACCGAGCTTTCGTCTTGAGAACTACAAAAGCTGCAAGGCTGAAACATTGGCAACTTGATCTATAAGTGTGTACGAGCTCTTATCCTCAAAATGGACTCTCATGTTCGCCTAGTTCTCACGTGTAGGCGTGTGAATTTTTTTTTTTTTTTTTACAGGAAAGTGTTTCCAGAAGCGGCGCAAGCTAGAAGGCTAAGACTTCGCGAAGATGGTCCTTTTCGCGTTCAACCCAAAAATTTTAAATCTAGCTTTCAAGCGGCCCTAGGTCTCATATGCAAACAAGTCAAGGTTTAAATTGTCATCGTCCCAACTCAAAAATAAAATTGATAAAGTGTTGCTGCTGAAGTAACTTTCGAAATTCTCCCCTCTCATGTGCTCCCCTTTTCGTGCTCACTGAGGGTAAAGTGTGGAACAAGCCTGGACTTTTGATTTGGTTTCAGATTTGAAACATGAATATCTTATTTCATTGGTGTGTGGGACCGATTCCTGATAAACTAGTTCGTACCTTAAACGGCTTCTAATTTACGCTGAACTATCTATCTTTTGGCTGATAACATACTACTTTTACCCTTTTTTAAGTTTTCAAATTCTAGATCAGCTCACATCACTTTCAACGCCTAAATGAGCCAATGCACTCGAATTTCATGGCAGCATTTTTCTGACATTCCAATCCGAATAGCAGCACCTGCATCTGCTTATTCTTTACTAACAAAATATGATATTCACGAGTGAAATTTAGCCAAGTAGTTTCGTATCATTCTGGCTAGCAATTCATGGGTCATTTGCTTCTGCGATGATTGATACGTCTGTTTTCAGGCACAAGTGGGCGAGCTGTTGGAATGGCACTCGGTGGTGTGGCCGGAGCAATGATTGGTGGTATTGCCGCAGGTCCTTTAGCGGTAGCAGGTGGAAGACTCGGTGAAGTAGTTGGTGCTAAATGCGGCAAAATCGCAGGTAAACAAATCGTAAAAGTGAAAGAAAAAGCTGCCAAAAAAGTCGGCGAAAATATTCGTAAAACGGTGAGGGCTGGAAGTAGCAAGTGCAAACCCAGGCTGGAACGCATTAGGCGAGCCGGAGCGATCATGCGTTTTTGCATCAAACTTTGAGGTTTTCTGAAAAAATGACAAAAGCAAATTTTTTGAAATGCAAATTTCCAGTTCACTAATAAAATTGGCCAACGCACGGGCTACCCGTGCGAAGATGCGTTTTTTGCAGAGTTCCCCGCAGTTTTT